GAAGAAGGCTTGCTCGCTTGCTGCACATTCAGTTGTGTTGCTTCCCTGAAATGTTTGTCTGCCTTGCTCCATTAAAAGGCAGTTTGATCCCTGTTGTTATTGCAAATGTTTTTCTTCTCTCCTGGAAAATTTTTTGGAGGAAAAAATTGTTTAATCCACTAAAGAAGCAAGCATAGTTCTGAGGGACTACGAGCCTTCTCAAGTGCTTACCTGGCTTTTCAGGGAACATAACTAAAGCACCCTAAAACGTGTGGATAACTCCAGAATTTTATGGAATCACTATACCTGGGTGGGTATTTTTTATATCCTAAAAAAAAAATGTATCTGGTCAAATAGGTTTGGAAAATTCCAGGAGTAAGTAAAATTAAACAGATTTTTTGTTACTGGACTTGTTAAACTTTACAGTGTTAAATGTGACTAAAAGAGGGGACCAAAATGTGCAGTGACCCCCAAATATATTGACTTCCAACACCTTTCCATGAAGCACATCACAGGATTAATGTTCCTCAGAACACAAATTTCTACTAATAGTTACTTACAAACTGATAATAGTAACCACATAAAATTTTATATACTAATAGGATGGTAATATGCTAAATTTTTTTACAATGAGGTGTTCAGTTCAAAAAAAGTTCTTAAAGTGCTGTGACAGACATATAAAGGGCAGAAAATTTTAGGTAATTTTAGATAGTTCTTAAAAATTGAAATCATCCATGACTAGTGTGAATTGTTCAGTAACACTAGCCCATAATTCTCAGTCATCACCAATTGCTTGTGATGCCTGCGAGTTAAAGTCACTATGATGTTTCTGTTGCTATGTTGGTACAATGGGAGACAGAAAATAAATAACTACTCTAGAACAATTAACAGTCCAATTGAGGAACAAAGTTTAAACAAGTAACGAGAGAGCAATAAGTCACTTTAATTTCCCACTAAAAAAAAAAAGGGGTGGCTTTGCTTATTCCTTTCTTCTAAATGTTCTCACTGGCCTTCATTGTTTAATGTCTTGGTACAAGTTCATATTTTTTGCACAATAAAATCCTTCTGAAATGAAATGTTTACTTAGTAGGTAACAAAATAGCCATGTGGACTGACAGTACAGAGAGAAAGAAAACTTTTTAAAACGCTGTCATGTAATATGATAGTCACAGTTGTAAGAACGTGTTCAGTTATTATGTAAATGTTTTTAAAATGAGATTTTTACTCCTTAGATCTCATATGGTACCAATATGTTTTTTGCCAATATTTGAAGGAGAGCATATCTATCATTTATGTCTTGTATAGATTTGTAAATTTATGTGGTTAGCCTTCCTGATCAGAGGCTTATAAGATTTCATCCAGTTTTAATTCCTCCAGGTAAATTCCAATAAATTTGTATTTTGGTTTATTCATAGGCCATTTGAATTTATGTAGGTTATGTTTTTAATAATAATAATACAATATAATTTAATGACTTAGTTTCTGGAATCCCTTGAATAACATAGAAAAGATGAATTTAATTTGCAAGACATTAATGAGGAGCTTCAGTGCGTCTCCTCCTTCTGATGTCTTTTAAAAGATATCTAATTATTTTTCACACATTATTATTATGAAAGCTGTAAAAGTCAGGTCATATATATTTGCATATGTTTTCTTTTATTTTTTAATCACTTTGAGAGACTGCTAAATATTCCTTCAGGGAAGATTCAAAGAAAGGAAGAAAACTAGGTCTGCTCTTAGCTAATCCTGCACAGTTTATTGAGCTGGCTTTTGAACTTGGCCACCTGGCACTGTCATGGATTGTTGGTCTTTCATCTTCAGAAGTCAGTGATGCAAGAGCATACATTTGCATTCCATTTGCAACGTTCTAAACTTGGTTAACCCAAAATGAAGTCAAGAAGATTGGGTTTTTAAGACCCGTAGTAGCCAAGAAGTATATGCAATACACTGCTCCGTTGTGTCAGATTTCAAAATATTAGACATCAAAATAACTCTCAAATGTTTTATCATCAATTTCTAAACACCTTGGAGAGTTCCAAAGTGTCATTAACAGCTAAGTTTCTCATTGTGCAAATGCTTATATGTGTTCATGAAATATCAGCAAAGTAATATGTAACTAAATATGTTTTTCATTTATTTAAATATTCTTATTTAAAGAGAAACCATTAGCTAACCTTTTTGAGCATTATCTGCCAGGTGCTGTTCTAAGCATTTTACAAGTAATAACTCATTTTTCCTGTATAACAACTCTGTGAAGTGGCTGTTTTTATTATGGTGATTTACAGAAGGGAAAATAGAGGGCAAAGAGAGATTAGTGACTTCCCAATTATTACATAAGGAGAAATATATAATGAAGAATCTTTGGATTATTCTTAAGGGCTATGTTATCATTGGGTGACTTTTTTTTATTCACTCCGAAGATACTTATTTAATGCCAACTATGTGCCAGGTACTGTGCTAGGAGCAAGAGACAGAGGTATGATCATGACAAATACCTTTGCAATGGCAAGCATCCAGATAAACAATCATCACCCAAATCCATGTGTGAATTAAATAATTATTTTATCATTTCAACAATATATCTCAAGTGCCTATTCTCTACCAGGTGTTGCCTAGCAAGTACTGTGTCAAATAGCTGGCATTTTGACAAACGTCTGTATTTGGTAATAATGTTTCTACCTATTAACTATTTGGCATCTTCTATACAACTGTATTCGATTGCCATAGAACTCCCCATGCCTCTGCCTACTGAGAGCTTTTGTTGTACGATTTGTAGTGATGGACAGAAGAAGGTAAATACTGCGTGCGGAAAGAAGCTGTAGGACTAGAAACATACTCTTCACTAGTTTAGGCTTAGTTCTCTATTGGAAATAGTGAGAGTGGACTTTTTCTCATTCTCTTCTTTCGAAGATTGCTGCATTTGATAAATGCTTTCCTAGAAAACTGTTGCCTTCTTGTTTCGTAAATACCTTTTTTTCATGTTTTATACTACAAATTCAATTTCATAATGCATTTCTAACTATCCAGCTTGATTCTAGGAACAAATTGCCCTTCTTTTGTTATTTTAAACTGTTTTATCAAAGGTGGAATTGTCATTGACTCTAAACAATTTCATAACTGAGACATCTGTGCAAATAACCAGAGAGAAACGGGATTATATTTGAGATTAAGTCCTAGACTGTGAGGGTTCCCATGGCCATATGAGAAAGTTGAAGTCATAGAAAAAGCAATTATCCTTTGAGACAGACACCTCAGTTCTTAGGATTAGATAGAGAATATTAATGGTAAGTAAGAAGCTCTTTTCTGAAAATTTGCTTACTGTGCTGTTTACTTAATACCTGGACTTTCCTTTAAAATCATAAGCCTGGAATTACTTTTAAATCAAAGTTTTATATGAAAAAAGACATTCTCTAACAAAACAAAGGGCTCTAAATTAGATCATGCTAATAAAAATGTTGGTGGTGTTTAATTTATTAAAATTCCACAATTTTGATTACAATTTAATTTATGATGTTTACAAGAAAAGAAGCCTTTTAAAAATCATTAGCTATTACCCAATATTCTATAGTTGTGGAACCAGAAGTTCAAGTTCTCAATAACTCCTCCAAAGAACTGTATTTCTGCATCAGACAAAGATGGCTGCTCTTATGAATAAAGACTGCAGATTTCTAGAAAAGTCAAGATATTGCCTGAACTGTGCTATGGTTGATGTGCATTCTCAAATCAAGGGCATCATAGCTCTTTGAAAAATAATTTGTTGCTGCTTTTTGGGAGATTTGACTCTCTCCCTTTGAGGGAAATGTGGTTTATTGAAAATCGTAAGAGCTAAGAGTCAAAGGATTGGCATTCTTGTCCTCAGTGTTACATTAATTAGTCACGTGTCAAAAGGCAAAGAACTTAAGCAGTCTTTAATTTGTTTTGTTGCTTTTGAAATTGGGGGAGGAATATATGTCCTGCCTACCTCCTAGACTTGTAAAACTTCAATTATCTATATGCAAAAGTTCTTTGAAGAGGTAAATGTAATATACAAATATAATGTATACTTTTGAGGGGTATTTCTTAGAGGTGGGGGAGTTTGTAAAATATTAATATTTACTGGATTTCATTGCCTGCTTCCCTGTACAGCGCTGTTTACAATCTACTATGTGCTTATTCATTGCAGTACTTACTAATTAGGACATATGTGCTTATTCTTCTCTGCCCCTGGATTGAAAGTATCATTATAATAGAGGACGTGTTTTTCTTATACAGAGTCCTATCCCCAGCACCTGTGCACTGATGAGCACGGTAGGTGCTTAATGAATAATTGTTGAATGAATGGAAGCGGGCCTCCTAAATGCACAGTGTTTATAGTGTACACTGTACATTTGTACTTACTCCTTAAAACTATTGGAATTAATGTTGTTTAGAGTTTTGCTTTGGGAGGAGTTTTTTGGAATTTAGATATGCTACAAAATCAAAGCTGGAGATCGTGTCTATGAATATTAAAAAATTGATGACTCACTTCTTCATAATCACTTCTCTTTTGATTTGAAACCCAAATAAATTGTAATGCAAAGATTTTATATTGGGTTGAGAGTTTGATAGCATTCACTGCTGCACTGATAACTTAAGTGATTTTTCTCTTCTTTTGTCTTCTTCTAGAGTACCAGCCAGGGTTATGTGACAATGTGATAATGTTTGAGAGAATGTGATTTATAATCAGGTAACCCTAGGTTCAAGTCCCAACTATACCATTTCCTAGTTGGAAGACTTAATGCAGGCTGTTAATTTCTGTAAGCCTTTATTGCCTCAAATGGGCCTGATTATACATCCCTCGTGGGCTTATTGTGAGGATTAAATGTGGTAATATACTTCAGGTGCTCAGCATGGTACCTAACACATATACCCTTTAGCTGTAGCTGTTATTATTTACATAGTTCATCTTCTAAACAGGTATTCTTTCTTTTTGTTTTGTTTGTGTGTTTTGTTTGTTTTGTGTATGTATCTGTATATGTGTGTGTGTATGTTTCCTTTTACAGATGGATATACAACTGACGACATTGAGTTTTACTGGCGTGGGGATGACAACGCAGTAACAGGAGTAACAAAGATTGAACTTCCACAGTTCTCTATTGTAGATTACAAACTTATCACCAAGAAGGTTGTTTTTTCCACAGGTTTGTATCAGGGAAGAGGGTTAAGGGAAAAGGGACTTTGTTATATTTTGTCAAAAGGGTTCTCTTAGATCAGGATTGGGTCCCAGGGAAGGATGATGACATTAGAAGACTTAGATCTGCTGAAAACCCTGTTCCCCATCAAGCCCATTGCCCATTTGGAACCCAACCAGTTATTTTCCAGAAGGTACCCCCAGCAAAACTGAGAGGGTTAGCTCTATGCCTCTCATTTGCCAGAGAAGGGACTAATTGTTAGAGATGCAATACAGAAAGAGAAATGAAGACCTAACTCAGAGTTGTTCCCCCAACTTTGTGCATCTCACAGAATTGATCATAACCTTTTGAAACATATTGAGGCTAGTCAAGTAACAGTTCACTCAAGTCTGACCACCATGAAATTCTCTAAAGACAGTAGAGCGGGAGAATTTCACATTTCCCTCAAAGGGTAGGAATGTCTTTACATAGCCTTACCTCCTGTTTTGGAGCTAAAATCCCTTCAAGATGTTGATATTATCCTGATGACTTCTCCATCCTTACTCTTCCAGCACTGAGGTTTTAGGTTATCAAACATGGTTTAATCAGCATAAATTTTTAACAAAAGAACCCAGGAAAGTAATAATTTGCTACATACTCAGTAAGTGAAAAAATAATAAGCCGACAGGAGTATGTCTTTATGTTTTTGTTATTGAAATGAATTCCCAGGCACAGAAATAGCTAGTACTGTAACTGTAGATTTTGAATTGGCCTCCTGCTAAAATTTAGGCACTTCCTGTCCTTGCAAACTACTTCAAGCAAGAATTGTATCACTTAGTAAGAATACAAAGTCGCCTCTAGCTTTAAAAAAAGAACAGAAACTTCCTAAGTTTGAGGTCCTCTGAATCCCTGAGACTATAGAAATGTGTTCCTACTTAAAGTATTCTTACTTTAATATTAAGACATTTGGTCTAGCCCAAGAAGGCTAAACAAGGCTTTCTTTCCATTAGAAAGAATATCTCCCCCCACCGCCCACACACACTATTTATTACTGTGTCTCATTTATGTTCTAAGACTGTGCTCAGTTACATACCTTGTTTAAAGAGTAATTCCCCAGGTCATCACAATGAAAGGATCCAGCATCAGGAATCTGATCCTTTAGTTATATTTCCCACAAATATTGCTCAGGAACAGTGATTCTCTACCTTTTGGTGGGTCGGGGATCCCTTTAGAACTTTGAGGAAATTTAGAAGCCGTGAAATTAGAAGAAAAAAATGATGCATACACTTGAAAACCTTCACAAAATTTCAGGGAGCTGCTGCACTACCCAACGCCTCGCCATTGATTCCAGACTTAAAATGCATCCTGGGGCTTGTGAAGAGATGTCTAAAATATGATCAGGATGTGCAGCCTTATTTTTATATCCAAAAAAGTCTTATAGGATGGACTTGCTGAGAAACAGTTGAGGGGGGAGAAAGAGACTGTCCCAAATTGTCTTGTCGTCACAATTATAGAGAATGAGTATGTCTGATCCATTGTAGGAGGCTGAGCAGGGAGGAGCTGGAATTCTTAGAATTACTAATGAGTAAGGGATGCATTCAACACTGAGTAACTCTTGCTAATTAAAAACCCAGTATTCTCAGACTTCTTTTGCAGAAGACAGTGCCCTCCACCGGGAGCTAAAATTGAATTTAGGGAAGATATACAAACTGTTCAATGAGTATTTAAAGGAAAGTATCTTATAGATATTGACTGATAATGCTGATGTTCTAAAATTGCCTTTCTAGGTTCCTATCCCAGGTTGTCCCTCAGCTTTAAGCTTAAGAGAAACATTGGGTACTTTATCCTGCAAACATACATGCCTTCCATCCTGATCACTATCCTCTCCTGGGTCTCCTTCTGGATTAACTATGACGCTTCAGCTGCAAGAGTGGCATTAGGTAGGCCATTTTCTAACTACTTGTGGATTTTGATTCTGTGTGTGTGTATGTGTGTGTGTGTCTGCACGTGCATGCATTTTCCTTACCCTGGAGTTTGTGATGCGTGATGAGACTGGACTGCGCACATTACGAGAATTTGGCTGTAAGACTTGGGTGATCTGATTCAGCATTAAATCCGTTAAACACAAATTAAAGCTCTTTCATGTCAAAATTAGTTAACTGTATAGCTGTTGGTAATGAAATTAGTCCCACCAGTTTGGTATTTTTATTGAAGTATAGTTCATGTGATATTGCTTGATAATTGTTCAGTTTGTATGTGGGCTTCCTTACCTGGGAAGAGCTCCCTTCCATCTCTTTTTTTTTTTTTTTTTCCTGAGCAAGAAACAAGGAAATGTAGTGTGTAACTAATAGCTAAGCAGGAAGAATTCTATAGCCGTATTACTATTTTGGAGTGGCATGGTAGAAGGCAGGAGACAACAGAGTAAGTATGGCATCGCTTATCTTATGCTTGATTTTTTTCTGTTATAAAAGCAGAGGAAGAAAATAAATTATATTTCATGAACATTTTTATGTTACTAACTCCAGATTGAGTAAATTATGACCTTTTACACAATTTTAATGTTTTGAGTTCTGACTAATCCCTTGGAAATGTTGAATTGTTAACTCCTCCACCATGAGATCTCAATGCAGCCATTACTTCCTTAGAGAAGTCATTCATTTAACAAATATTTGTTGAACACCTACTATGTGCTAAATATACAAAGCACTGGAGATAAAGCAGTGCTTTATCTTTAAGTTATGGTCTAGCAGTAAAAGATAGACAATAAATTTCTTTTGCACATAACATGCAAATTATATAATGTGGTAAGTCTATAGAGGGAAATAAATTAAGGGGGGTTGGGTATGTCAGGGGGTACAGTTTAGAATAATCAGGGTAGACTTCATTCAGAAATTGTCAATGGAACAAAGACTTGAAAAGATGAAGAGCCACGTAGATATCTAGATGAGAATATTCCAGCTTGCTGCAAAGGCCTGGAGGTAGGAACATGCCAAGCGTGTCAGCGAGATGGCCAGTGAGGCAAATGCAGAGTCCAGGGGTAAAAATAATGTTGGAGAGAGGAAACTAAAAGCTTATGAAGCAGTTCGGGGGCCATACTAAAGGCTTTGCTTTTATTCTGAGTGAAATTAGAGAGTCATTGAGCAAAGAAGTGACATGATTTGATTTCAGATTTAAAGGGATCACTTTGGCTGCTGTATTGAGCTTAGATCCGGCTGGTTCAAGGATGAAAGGCAGAAGTAATGACCTCCTGGACTGAGTCAAGTCTCCTGTGATATATTCTCTTAAAATACTGTAGAACTCTCCACTGTAAACCAACCACAGTTATAATTTATATTTATTTGGTTTGTAATGTCCTTTTGCCTCATGGTATTAAAAGATATATTGGAAAAAGGTCCACATCTAATTTTGCTTTCATTATATCTGTAGTGATATGGTGTTCAGTAAATATTTGCTGAATAAAGTAATAAATGGAATTTGTAATTATTATTCCAAAGTGAAAATCTGTTACCAATTTTACACTATTACAGGAATAATGAATAGCTTTTTTACTTTTTAAAAGAAATTTTTAAAATATCTTTTTATGTGAGCAATTTATTACTCTATCAGAAATACTTTAAAATGAGATTTAGATAAATAGTAAAATCAGCATTGTCAGTTTTATAATATACATGTTGTACAGGGTAATCTGCCATTGAAATAATGAAAAGAAAAATGAAATTGGAAAATGTTTCAAAATGACTAATATTATAGAAAAGATATGAAAATGGTAAGACACCTAGATCTAAAGCAAGAACAGGGATTTGCTAGCCGTGCTCAGAATCAGATGCTCAAATTTATTTTTTCTGTAGTTGTTTTATGAGCATGTAGAAAAACAAGACAAAAATTATGATCTTAGAGAGAGAAAATTCAATCAGAAAACTGATGTTTCCCAAAACTCATAGAAATGAAACTTAACTTTTGGGATGTGTTATTAGGTAGAGTTTAAGAATGCAGGTTTCCATGTTGAGATCCCTGTTTAGATGTTGACTCTCCAACTTCCCATCTGTGTGATCTTGACTCTGAGCTCTATTTTCACATCACTTTTTTGCCACAAAGCTGGACCGGATCATACTCAGGACTCTGGACTCCCAGTGCTTTTACCAGCATATCTCTGTCTATTCCTCCAGCTATACCCTTGAGGGAAACCACTTCCCCTGTTGGAGATGCCCACTCAGCTAGGCAAGCAATTATAACCTGACCCCGTGTGGCATTTCCCATAAAGAATCTCGTAATACTTCTGTATTATTTATCTGTGTATTGCGTGTCTAGTTGCCCAATCCAGAAACCTGACTGCTAGACACCTGCTTCTCTGATACCCTCCCCCCCAGTTTTCAAATCTGTATAATCATTTGTCCATATCATCTGTATAATGCGTTCATTGATTTCAGTACTTTTGTGATTATTTTATTTCCTCTTCACCACTTACTTGGATTATTCTGGAAAACTCTTAACTGGTATTCTCTACTCCTGTCTTGTATACCCCCCACCCCCATCCTTCACACTGCTACCAGAGTGATTATCCTAAACACAATTTGTCCCTATGCTTCTCTGCTCAAAGCTGATCAGTGGCCCCACGTCACCTTCAATTTTAAGTTCAAACTCCCCATTAGGCTCTACATATATGGCTCTCCATTAGGCTGCCCTTACTTAATCTTCCCTTTCCTCACCATTCTTCCCATCATATCGTATAATGTATCCACATTGACTTTCTTATTTTTTTT